CTTGTGCCTCTGCCTTGGAGCTAGCTGAATATTGATTGAAATCTCTACAAACTGTAAGCCAAACAAACCTTCCCTCTCTTACCTTGTGGGTGTTGGGTATTTTGTCTTGGCAATGAGAAAAGGACAAAGACAATGAGACTCCTAAATATGGGTCTCATCTTATACCTAATCAACCTATTTTTGTGTGTGTACCTTAACTCAGTTATCAAGGAAGGGTGTTAGTAAGAGTTTGGCTGGCCTGTCAGATGGTGGTGGACTACTTCACAGCAACAGGACAATGTGTGCTCCTCAGGGAAGAGTTCATGGATGGGGAGGGTCTTGGGCCACGTGGGGAGCTGGGCCAGGGCAGTTGCGCACCGTCTTTTTCTGTCCCTGAGCCCATCCTGGTGGAGTAAGAAGAGTCACTGTTGTTTCCCTGAGGAGAAGCCAGGGCCACAGAGGCAGGCCACTTGCTCAGAGTAGGGGCTTCAGTTTGCTATCAAAGCCACCCAACCCTAAATTTGGGCCTTTGGGTGACAAGGCTGGGTCTGAGGCCCCTTAGCCACTGTGTCTGCTTACTGCTCTAAGGGGACGACCATGGACCAATGCACGTCCTCACTGTGGCAGAAGTCAGGGCTGCACCTGTCCGGCCACACCGCACGCTCCTCCAGGGATGCTCAGATTCTTTGCTTGGACACACACAGGGGCCTGTGAGTACCAGCTTACCCGAGAACTTACAGTGCTCTGGTGGGGCTGAAAGAAAACGCATCTGAACACTCAGGCACTGCACCTGTCTCTGGCCACTGAGAGCTGAAAGATGTAGGCCAAACAGGTAAGTGTGGTTTTTAGCCCATGAGGTCATGAGAAGCTGTCAGCTTGCAGCCAGGGCTGGCACAGAGCTGCCTCCCATGACCACTCCAGGGGCCTCTGCGCCATAGGAGGAGCCCTGTCTTGTTGTTCTTACAGGGAGGCATGGGGTGGGGCCACGAGGGCTCTGTTGGCTCAGCTCTCGAGCACCATGTCTACATCGATGGAGCTCGGCCTCAGGCCAGTCAGTCCTGGCTGCAAAGCTTCCTAGGAAAACATGTGCAAGCAAAACCAAGGTTCGCTCCTAAGCAGAAGGGCATAGCCAGCAACTTTTGCCACAACGTTTGTCAGAGTGCTATGTTGTAGCCCTTCCCTCCTAGTCCCCTAGATTTGGCTTGGATGGGAACTATCTAGGCACCTCGAGGGGCAGAGACTCGCAGGCTCCAGGCCCTGACTTGGTGGCAGATGTGCTCTCTCCAGGGTCACAACATGCTCAGATCTAAGAGCTCGTACTGGCTGGTTTTCCTGGCCACGGGGGAACTTGTGTTAAGGCATCTCTTCTGGGACTGCCCAAAGGTTTCCTTCATGAGAAGTAACCTGCAGAGCAGCACGCACCGCAGCCCTGGAGTACAGAGTACAAAGAAGCGAGGTCTGCTACACCTCTCAGGCAGGATCACCGCAGAAGTCCCACAGGTTCCAGCCATCAGTAGCCAGGGAGGGTGGTGGCAGCCCGGCCAGCTAGTAGTGCATCCAACAGGCCGTCACTTTCTGGGTGTGGTGCAGTGGATGGGAGGGAGCTCAGTGTGGTCTCTGGGCAGGGGAGGGCTCAGCCCTGCTCCTGATGCTGGAACAAGGGTGCATAAGCATCAGAACCTGTGGATCTTGGCTGGCTGGGCCTAGCCCCTCGCACCTGTCCTGTCCTGCGCACAAGGTGAGTCCCTTGCCTGGGGCTGCGCCTGCATCCCAAAGACAGCTGGGGTGGTGAGAGCTCAGTCCTGCCCGAGGGCAGATGGACAGGACAGCGTTTTTGGGGAGCTGGCCCTGCCCAGGGCCTTACACCCTCCACTGGTGCATGCAGTCTCAGAGTGAGGCATTTCTTTGCTGCGGTCCAGGGGAGGAGCCCCTTTCAGCTTGGATCACCATCATGAAAAGGGGTCCGTGCAATTCAGAGCAGAGGGATGAAGGCACAGAGTGGAAACAAAGGGCCTGTCCCTCTGTGCCAGCCCTCAGGCCTCTTCCCCAGAGCGCTGTAAGTCCACCAGCTTCGCAGCATCGCTTGGGACGGTCTCCATGTGCGCACATGTGCAGCTCTGCAGCGATCTGTGTGCAAATGGAAACCGAATACACACGGCATGGCACGCCACTTTTCACAAACAAAATACACACGCTGTACCTTGGAGAGCATTTCACGCCAGCCATGCAGCCCTGCCTCCTCTCAGCCTCTTCTCAGGAAGGCTGCAGAGCATCCGACTGCTGCGGTACAGAAATTTATGATTTCCCTCTGGAGGCTTGGGAGGCCTCCTGTTCCAGAAATGCTGCAGTCAACACTTGTTCTGTATTTTTGAGGACATTTGCAAATATGTCAGGACTAAATAGGTGCATGGAGCTTCCAGGTAACAATGTATGTGTGCATTTGAAATAGCAGGAGATTCTGCCAATGCGCCCTCTAACAAGTAGCCTCGTGGAGACTCCTTCCTCCACTCAAGCAGTCAACATATTTGTTTCTTCTCAAAGATTGTCTAAATCCTGCTGGAAATGCCAGACACTGCAGCAGGGACTTGCAGCTGTAATTCTGTGCTGGGTGGGTCCCTGAGCCCCGCAATCTGCACTGTGACAGGTCAGCCACACCAGCTTTCATGGGCCTCTGCAATGCGTCGGCTCATCCCTGCCATGGGGCCTCTGTGCACCCAGCCTGGTCACCTGCTGCCCTGCGATCTCCACACAAATGCCCCCTCTCAGATGCCCGCCCTGCGCAGGCCTCCCCTGCCCTGCATGCCCTTGGGCATTAGTGGCCAGTTCCTGACTTTTTGTGTTCATCCCGACCCTGCGCAGCAGCAGCAAGCTCCTGGGAGAGAAGGTTTTTGTCTGTCTGATAACCCCTGTCCCAGCCATGGTGCCTGGCACTTAGTAGGTATGCAAGAAGCAACTGCTGGCCCTTGAGCTTTTGTATGTGAGGGCAGCAGATGGCATCAGGTTGCTGCCTTCGTGATTGTGGGTAACATCTGGCACGAAGGCAGGTTTACGGGGCTGCATCTATGTGATTCAGTCACCTCTTCGGCCCTTTCCCACTTTCCTGTCAGCTTTTCTCTTTCTAATTGAGAAGTACAAACTCTTTGCATGCAATATAAGCAAGCTCTTTTTCTTCTCAGTTTTGTTGCAAGTGTTTTTTCCAGTTGATTGCCCACCTTTGTACTGTGTAGCTTCCATTTAAGTTCTTAATTTTTATGCAATTGAGTTCATTGGCCAATTCCTAGGTGGCTTATAACCATGGTGTGAAGAAGGCCTCTCCTCCGGCCCTGGGGGGCTCTCCTCACAGTGGTCTGTGCCCAGGGCAGGGATGTGCCCATGGGCAGGAGGAAGACAGGTCTGGCTTGTGGGGGAGTCTGGGTACCCACAAAGCTGTGTGGCTGCAGAGGGGTGACACAGGATGCAGGTTGTGGGTGAGTGTCAGACAGGATCCAGATTGCATTTGGGGGTTCAGCAGACAGCTGAGGGCATAGGGCAGAGATGGAGGTGAGAGGAGGGGGACAGTAGGGATCCCCAAGGTGCCACTAGGGAGGTGGGAGAGGGACACATACCATCCCCAGGCTGGTGATCAGTGAGCTGTTGGGGGAAGATAGACGCCACCAGCAGCGAGCTGAGAAGGAGCAGGTGCTCCAGCCCAGGAATTTGGTGGACTTGGGAGGCACCCAGCCTGTGCTGCTGCCACAGAACTTGAAAGACAGAGGCCACCACTGCATTCTTAAGAATTTGTTTATTTTCCGATCAAAGGAGTCACATCTGCCCGCACACCCCAGCACATCTCAAGTTGGATTTTTATAATTTAACTTGAGCAAAGCTTCGAGAACTTGAGGCAGAGCTTGATCTTCCATTCAAACTCCCCATCCTGGCTTAAGCAGCCACAGTGATCACTCCTGGCCAGGACATAGCTGTGTATACCCGCGAGTGCTCGCAGTGGTGCCACATGGCCCTGTGAACAACTGCGCTCTGCAGTCTGCTGCCCGTGTGTGCAGAAAGTGTGGCGCAGATACAGAGTTTGGTATAAGCTCCATACGATGTGATTTCATAACCAGCGGCCTAACCGCTGAGATATTACTTAATTTGTTAAAGCGATAAACAAGATTATGATGTGCAAACAAACAGGGCCTGTGCTCCAGCTGCGTCCAAGTTTATTTTACCAAGCTATACACACAAGGCCCTTTCTCCAGTCCTTCGGATGGGGTTTCCCCTTCCTTTTGTTGGGGACAGAAGAATGTAGAGGCAAGCAGGCCCTCTCGCGCTGGGCTTTCCGGCGCCTGAAGAAACTCATTCATTGCCCGGTGTCCTTACAGGAGTTTCCCACATAGAGGCTTCGCTGAGTGGGAGATATCTGATCGTGGCTTGCCCAAGCGGGGCCCCACACTCCAGGGACTCTGGAGCCTGTGAAATGGGCTGAGAGACTAGGGTGTTGTGGGGAAGGGGCAGGGGTCACAGCCCTCCTCCTGCCCTGCCTGAGCTGCTCCTCAGCTGAGAGTCTCTAGTGTAACTTTATCTGAAACTTGGGGCTGAATACCGGGTGGGTTCATCATGCCAGGGAGGTCCTGCCTCCTTCTGTGGGACCCAGCCCGGAGTGGGATCCTCCTCCCTTGCTCCTAGCAGCCGTGGAGGGCCAGGAGGAGGCGTCTCCCAAGGACCCTGCCACACTCTCATGGGCTGTAAAACCAGCATAGGGAGGAGGGGGGCGGGGCATCCAGGTAACTGCCCTGCAGAACCTGAGAACTCCCGACCTGCGAGGCAGGTCCCTTCTCAGCACTTCTTAGCAGCACAGGATGAGGAGAAAACCCACAAGTCTCAGGGTCCCCAGGGGCTGCAGCAGGTGGGGAGGCCGCAGCCCAGGCTGGCCAGTGTGCAGCGCACTTCTTCCGCAGGAATTACCTTCTCTTGCGCATGCACGCCTCCAGCCGGCCCAGCTCTTCGTAGGACTGGTAGAAAATGTCAAACTCCCTGGTCCCCCAGCCCCTCCAGACAGCCAGGTGCCACTCGGTGTTGTCATTCTCAAAGCCACACACCACTGTGTCCTTTGCCACCACGGCCGCGTCCACCAGCACCCTGTGGAGAGAAGGGTTCTGAGGAAGCTCGCAGGGGTCCCCTTTCCCAGTGCAGCCCCAGAGGGCAGAGCCAGTCAAGCGGAATGCGAGTGGCCCAGCCTGGCTCTGGGATGTGTTCCAGCACTCACAGGTCCAGTCCTGAGTGGAGCAGAAGCTTTATAAATCTCATGAAGGCCGAGGGCATCATTTCAGGCCTGCAGCTTTGTCTGTATGGGGCCCTGGAAGGTGACCGATGCTGCCACACTAGCCTTCGGACCTCCAAGTGCCCAGCAAATGTCACCAGCCTGAATTCTTGCCATTGCATGGCCCATGACTGGGCAGACGCTGGTCCGTTCCTTTGCCACAAGCTCTGTGGGCCTGTCTGCTCTGCTCCCACATGCGGAGGAAATGCAGGGCTAGGGACTGTTTTGCAAGAACCGCATGGATAGTACAAGTTTCCTTTGGGGACATGTGGGCGGCTCCTGCAGCCTCTCTGTCTCTGGGGCCTGCGGAGCTGGCTGTCTGCCTCTGGGCACCTCCTCTCTGCATCTCCTCCCGTGCCCGCTGCATGTGCCATGCTGTGCACCCAGGTAGGGCATCCAGGGATTCTTTCTGCCCCATGCCCTTGCCAGGTCCTGCATTTCAGGGGCTACCTGGGTTCTGGTAAAATTCAGCTTTGAAGAATGAATAGGAAAAAGGACACAAGGTAAAACTTCAGAGACACTCATGGCAGGCATGCCAAGGCCAACCAAGCTGGGCTCTGCAGACCCGCCTGGTCCTGGAAGCCTGACCTGCTAGCCAGGGACTACTTTGGCTCGAGTGCGCCACAGAGCTCACAGCCTGGGCTGAGAAGCAGACCACAATTTAGTTTCTGGAACCATTCAGAGTAAGAGTCACTGGTTCCCAGAATCACAGAGAAAGCCTAAGGCTGGCAGGCCCGGGAGTAAGACTGCCATCATGTGTCCACCATGGTCACTGACCTGCTCTGGGGGAAAGAGGCCTAGTGAGATTTCTCCAGCTCCATGTGCTCTATATAATGTAAAAACTCTCACCTACAGATGGGTGATAGCTCATGCTGCGGGGAAATAGGCTTAGTGAGAAATGGAAAGGCTCCAGAGTACACGTGCAAGTGTGCGCACGTGCGCGCATACACACACACACACACACACACACACACACACACACACTTTGAATTTGTAGAATCGAGGAGCTTTTCATGAGGGAGAGTTACTGCCTGGAGCCTCAAGTCACAGTGCTTGTGGGAATGCTGTCAGGAACGCTGGTCCCATGCCAGGCTTATGTGTTGCCCATGCAGATGGTGCCCTGGAGGGTGGACATGGCCATGCCTCCTGGTGGCATCCACCCCTGCCTGGGATGGTAAGGAGTTACTGTGCCCATATCACCAGGCTCTACTGGGTGCTGATGGGAGGTGGGTCATTCCTGCTGGGGCTCCCTGCCTGGCAGGAAGGACAGTGGGTCACTGGGAGGGATCCCTGCTTTTCCTGCATTCAGCCCTGGAGAGGCACTTGGTGCACAGGGACACCAGGCACCCAGATGCAGGCTGCCCTGGCCAGAGGCTGAAGCCTGATTCAACTGGTGCTTGCTGAGCTCACTGGGAGGACGCTAGAGCACCCCGACTTGTTTCTGCTTTGCCTGACGGCCATGCTAGTGGACGCTGATGCTTATTCATTGTCATGGAGGTCCACAGGGCTCCTGGGCTATCCCTGGGCCCCTGGCAACCAGTCCCTGCGCTGCTCCCTTGCGGCTCAAAGAAGCCTCCCAGGGTCTTACCCATGTGGAGTCAGTTCCCGGGCTTTTAAGACAGCGATGACTCGGCCCCGCTGGGCGCCCGAATCCTTCTCCAGGCCGATGACAATGACATCTCCACCATGCCTAAGAAAGCAGAGTCAAGGAAGAGAAGTGTTTTGCCCATGGCTGGCCATGTCCTCCAGAGGGAATGGTACTGGTGCAGAAAGGTGCAGATGGGAGCTAACAAGTTACAGAGAAGGCACAGCCTGCAACGCAGACGAGAAACCTAAGAGCAGAGGCCGGGGCTGTTCTCCTTTTGTGGCACATGAAGCTCTGGGGCAGGCAGGGAGCTTTCCGGGAGCCACTCCTACATTTGCCTAAGGAGGTCCCTGCTCACTGCAGACAGAAGGAGTGGCTGCGTGGATCTGGATGGTTTCTGCTCACCCTGCTCCCAGGGCAAGAGCAGTGGGCAGCCCAGGATGTCCTCCACTGCAGGAAACTCACCTGGGAACCCAAATGACGTCTCTGACCGCAAGGACCTTCACAGCTTGCAGGTGCCGGCTGAATGTCTCACCGTCCATGGGGGTCAGGTCGTGCTCAGATCTGTCTGAGGTGGTGACGGACTCCTGCAGCCGGTCAGAGCCCTCGAAATCCCCAGAGAAAGGCATGCTGGAACAGCTGGCTGGGGAGCTGCGCAGGCTTGAGGGGCACCCGGTGGCCCGGGGCGGAGGGGATGAAGAGTAGGAGGACATGGAGCAGTAGTCAGTCAGTGAGTCTTGGTGGGTCAGGATCTGCGTGCCCAGCTCCCGGCTGTACATGATGCTCACATCTGCGATGCCGTCTCCTTCAGGCTCCTTTGGGCTGGCCGTGTGACTGTCCAGGGGTTCCGCCCCTGAGGGCTGCACAGGGAACATGTCCCTGAGGGGGCTGGGGTCTCCACAGAAATATCGGGCACACAGCTGGTAGGTGGCAGAATGGTACATCACCAAGGAGTTGGTCTTGTCATCCAGGCACCAGACAACCTCCTCCCCTCTACAGTCAGAGCTGCACACGACCGATGTGATCACTGAGGGGGCGGCATAGGGCTCCAGCCGCCTGCTGATGTCCAGGGTCGCACAGTCGATGATGAGGAGGCCTGGTCCATTGCTGTACCAGATCTCTGACCCGCTGTTGACCACCTCCATCGCCTTCACTGGGTATGGGTTCTGCCGCATGTCTTCGTCCGGGATGCCAAACTTGGACCTGTTGGCTGTGTGTGAGCACAGGTAGGAGCAACTGTCCCTGGGGATGCCCCGCGCCACGGGAAACACAGCCACCAGCCCATCAGCCAGGCCTGCCAGCACCAGAAAGGAGTTCTGTGGGAAGCAGACAGGGATGCGTGAAAGAAGCCCTACTCAGGAGAGACACAGAGGGGTGTCTGGTTCATCTCTGTCCATGCTCCAGATGGACATGCGATGTCCATAAATGTCCCCAAGAGCAAAGATCTCAGGCTGGGTCTGCCAGCAGCTTCCCTGGCCCAGCACTGAGAGGTGTCAGAGTTCTGGCTTGGTACTGCTACGCCACAGCCACGCTGCCTGCTGCAAGGCCAGGGATGTGTGTGGAGGAGAGGTGCCCAAGGCACCAGCCAGGTCACCAGCACCACCTCTGCAGGGCTGATGTTTGGCATTGTGAGGAACAGTGGGTGCTGTCTTTTCCTCCAGGCCACCAAGGTCTCCCTCAGAGGCAGGACATTGTGCTCTCCCTTATGTGAACCCTGTTGATATGACAGCAGTTATGGGCACCGTGGGGGTCTGCTCACTGCCATTCTAGATGGCATGCTCAGTGCAAGCAGGGGAGGGTCCCCACGCCTGCCACTGTCCCCTGGTGCTGGCTGAGTCTCATGCATCTCTGTTGACATTTTTCATTTCACTGATCTCTGGGACTCCACTTGGTTTTTTTGCACTGAGTAGACAACACGTTGTTTGCTAAACTAGCTCTGAAAGAAATCGCTTCCAACTCATCTCTCTCCTGGGGGCATCTCATCTGATGCACCCACAGTCCTAGCTCAGGACCCCCTGTGAGAGACCCACGGTACAGCTGTTACTGACAGGGTCCTCAGGGCCCCCGCTAGGTCTACAGTAAGGCATAGCTTGGCTGGCAGTCACTGGCTAGTGGCCACCGGGCAGAGGACAGAGTTGCAGGGACTAAATGTTGGGCTCCCAGGAGACCCCAGGGCATCTCCCAGGGCACAGTAGGACCTGGACAGGAGTCAGAGGGGCTCTGCAGAGCCCAGCCGAAGTCAGGACCGTGCAGGGGCAGGCCTGGTGCCAGCAAGGGCGAGCTGCAGAAAGCTGCCTTGTTGGCAGCCAGGGAAGTCGGGAGGCTGGGCTGCCCCATGGAGTATGCTGCCATGGAGAGACAGCCTCCAGCCCAGCCTCAGGGCTGCAAGTGCTAAGGTCTATCAAAGTCCTGTTTCGGCTTGTAGAGGAAGAAAGCAGCCCAGGGACACAGGCTCCAAGTCCCTGTCTGGAGCCCCAGCTCAGCCTGGCTGGCGTGGTGAACACCATGTCATGTCCAGGCTGGGTGTGAACACGTGCGTGCAAGAATGCAGGGCTCTGCCTTACGTGCCATGGCGGCTAGGCCTCTGGGGGAGCAGGCACCCCTCGCAGGAGGCTCTGCACAGAGCAGGCTTTATTCCCCGCAGTCGTGCGGGAGGCAGCGCCCTGGCTCAGGGCTCTGGCCGGTGATGGCCTTCAATGATGCTTTGTGTCCTGCTCTCCCGTGCCCTGGTGCGGCTGGGCCCTGAGTTCCCCATCCGCGTCCGCGGGCCACGGCCATAAATGAAGTGAAGGTTCACTTCATACTTGTGTTTCTTTTTAAAGGAATGCAACTGGAACAGGATGCGGAGAAAAGCTTGTCCCTTTCATGACTGTTGGGAGGTCGTATAATACCCTCCGCTTTCCTGCGCACTGGTCCCCAGCGCGGGGCGTCTCACGAGCCCTCATGATCCCCACATGACCAGAACGGCTTGATGACAGTCTGCACATTTTAAGCAGCAGCACCAGGAAGCACTCCTTGCAAGCTGACTGAGCACACCTGTGGTTCAAACAGGCCTCGAAGGGTGGCCACGCCAGAACTGTCTGAGCAGCATCAGGGCCCTCGGAAGTGGAGCCTGGGAAAGCCAGGCAGCAGCCTTCCCCAGAGAGGACGGGCCACGCCCTGATGCAGAAGCGAACAGGCAGGGGTAGAGAAGAGGTGTGGGCAGAGGGCTGTGCCTGGCTGGAAGGAGAGGAGGGGCACAGGGCTCAGGGGCAGCAGGGGACCATGTCACCCCCTCTGCCAAGGCGGGGTCTGATTCCAAGGCATTGGTGGCTTTGTGCTGGGGACAGCACTGTGTGGCCAGGGTTGGGGAACTAAGAAGGTAAGTCGGCCTGCAGTGCTCGGCAGTGACTTCGGGTCTGGGATGGACAGTGGTAGAGGCAAAGGGCAAGAGAGCAGAGGGCATCGGGTCAGAAGCAGGGCCTTCCAGGGCCTGGTGACCAAGGGCTGTGGGAGGCGCTGGCCCGGGCAGGCAGGTAAGAGCCTCCTGACATCAGGGCTGTCCGAAGGAGTCAGGTCCGTACAACTGCGCACTCCACCACGTCCCACCTGAGCTGGGCTGTGGTCTCAGCTTGTGGGCAGTAGGTGTCCTGAGTCTCTAAGGCAGCCCATGACTAGGCTGGTGACCCAAGAGGGCGTGTCTTTCCTGCCTCCGAGCCAGACGCACCTGTGAGATGCAGCGCGGCAAGCCGTGGGAGGCCAGACTCACACACCCACTCCCCTCTCCTCACCTTTTTAATGACAGGTACCGCCAAGAAGCAGGTGACGATAGCCGGGGTGTCCAAGGCCTGCTGGGGTGCACTCAAGGGGCACATGCCCTTAAGGCTGTAGATGTAGATTTTCTGGTCCTGCAGAGGCAGACAGGCCTGCAGTGAGACCCAGGCAGTAAGGGCCTGGCGCTTCCCACACAGTGCACTGGCGTGGGGGCCCACTTTATGCCTGCCGTGAAGCCAGTGGAGGCTTTTTATGTAGTTCTGCTTGCTGTAGTTCTGCTCTTTGTAGAAACTTGGAAAAACACAGAATATCTAGAGAAGAAAAACTAAATTGCCCATATTCCAAATTATTCAGAGAAAACCACTCCTGAAATTTGGGGGCAACGCCTTTTAGAAGTTCTCTGTAGGGTCATGTGTGTGTGTGTGTGTGTGTGTGTGCATAAGTGTGTATGTGTGTGTGAAAGCACACGGTTCCTGCAAAGGTGGGGTTCTACCACAATGCTGTCTCCTCACTTTCGGGCTTCTGTTGTTTGTTTGTGCAGTACTGGGGCCCAGACCCGGGCCTCATGCACGGGTGCGAGGCAGGTGATCTACCTCCGAGCCAAGGCCTCTGCCTTTTCATTTTTTTCCCACTTAACTAAATGGGAGGTGGCACAGGGCACCCCTGCAGTCGGCCCAGAGGGCCCATGACCTGGGTGGTCTAGCTGCAGAGCTCAGTTTGTCCCCATGTTTTCAGTACCATGAGTTATACTGAGCTCGGTGTTGGTTCTCTCTCTCTCTCTCTCTCTCTCTCTCCATCATGTGTTTGCATGTCTTAGTTATGTTTTTGGAATTCTTCAAATTGAAATTAGCAAGGCTTACGTAGAATGAATGCTGTTAATATTTCTGACTTATATTTGAGCCACACTTCCCAATGTCATGTCTTTCCAGGTGGCACCAACCTCTCCCCTATCCATAACTTCAGAATGTCTGCTGTTGGGGCATTTCCCTCTGAGTTTCTCAGGAGACCCCTCCCGGGGCTTTCCAGGGACTCCCCCCATGTGCAGGGAGAGGCCTTCAGAGCAGAGAGAACGTGCTCTGTGGACACGGCAGTATTACAGGAAGCCAGGCGCTCAAACGCAGTTTCTCCCCTGAAACAGCCTGATACTCATCGTCCCAAACAGCAGCAAGCAGGAGCTGGCGGCAGGCAGGACTCAGCTCCCTGGGAGACTCGTTGCTGTCTCACAGCATGGGCAGCACTGCTCTCTGGGGGCTGCCCAGGGATGAGCTGGGGGATGCCTGGAAGTCAGGCTGGCCTGGTCACTCTGGGGGCTGCTCCGCTGGTAGGCGGTTACCTCGGTGGCCGTCCACAGCGAGCTCTGGACCTTGAGCTGGCAGCTCAGCCTCATGCCAGCACAGGCCATCTTCTGCACTTCCAGAAGCCCCTTCTCTGTATTCACCACCGTGTAGTTCCTATGGTTGACAACAAGCTCACGGTCAGTTCCTGGTGGTCCCTTGGCTGCCCCAATAGCCTCAGAAGAGGACCTTGACTGTGGGCCTTTTTGCCCCAGGACGCCAAGGTCTCCTTGATGTTCTGAAAGACCCAGGAAGGCTTCTCCACGGCCCTGGGTACGGCTGGGTTCTGCCCGCTGGGTAGTGCTTGGACATTTCAGGCAGGGCACAGTTACCCCCAAAGTGAAGAAAGCCTCTTTTCTCTCCTTGACCTCTGGGGATTGGAAGCATTGCCCAAGTTGAGGGAGGGGCACATCCACAAAGGTCACTTACTCCCTGCTCTTCCACCAGCTGGACGCTGCCCACCCAGTGAGTGGGGGCAGCCCCTCCGGGCCAGGTGGATAAGGCGGAAGACAAGGCGGGTGGGCAGAACAGGGCCCATCCGGGCGTTGGCAAGGCAGCTTGGCCCTGGGTCCCTCTGATACACCTCAGAAGTCTCGGAGAGCTTCCCTGCTTCTTGTGTGTCAAATGTTTGAGGCCCAGACCCTGCCCAGACCTGGATTCAGCCATTCCTCTGATGAGCGCTGGCTTCCCTTGGTCCATGGGTCTCATGGCATCTGCCTCCTCGTTGTTCCTAGGCCTCTTCTCATACCCCACGAGGCCAGCCAATTTCGAGTCAGAAGTTTACTTACTTCTTACACGCCCTCCCCTACATCTATCTCCCCTTTAACCCATGCCGAAAATCACAGTTGCCAAGGACAGCCGCAAATCATTTATCAACTTCCCCCACAGGCTCAAATACTATCTTAGAACAACGATAATAAAACTACCAAAACAAATTCGATTACTGGAAATGCTTTTAGCAAACACCCCCCCCCCCACCGCGCTACTGGCAGGGATCCCCTTAAACACCCAAATCTGCAGACACGAAGGCCTCTTACATAAAGTGGGCAGCGTTTGCTTAGGTCTGATGTTCATAGCCTGTGTTCTTTAAGCCAGCTCTAGGTCACTTAAAGTACCTCATGCAACGTCAATGCCACATCAATAGCATATTGCTGAGGGCCCAGTGCAGCACCAGAAAGTGTACAGGTCCAGTAAAGAGAGGCTGCCTGATGCCAGGCTCTCCCGGAATGCCCTAAGGGGAGCTGCTGCAACCTCCATTCCGTCCACCTCATCCCTACTCAAGCTCAGCTCTATCTCAGCCTTGCCTGGTTCCAGCACCATCCAGTGTTTACCCCTGGGCTCGTGGGAAGACAGTAACTGCCTTGAGGATTTCTCAGGAGGTGAAGAGGCAGCACACACGGCCATGATGGCAGGTTCTCACACAGTGGTCATTTCCTGGTGACTTCAGTCTTTGGACACTCTTTCCCAGGCCCTGGCTTCTGCATCCTGGGACCTCCTTTTTTGTTCCTCAAAGGTCCCTTTCTGAGTCCACCCCTCTAATCCGGCCTTTGCTTCTCACCCTACCCCTCCTACCTACACCACCCAAGCACCCTGTCTGACCACAACCATAAAACCTTTCCGCTCACTCAGCCTTGCACGTGCCTCCCCAAGGACCTTTCTGACACCCCAGACTGGGCCCCCTTTCTCTCCTTCCCACTTCACGACCTTATTTAGGCTTCAAGGGCCTTTTCTACAATTCAAAGACACCTTCCACTCCCCTGCCTGCCCTCCCTCTAAGCAAACCCACGACTGTTTAGATCACTGGATTGCTTGATCACCCCAGCTAGTCTGGGGCAGCAGAATGTGCTACAGAAAGTCACAGGAGCAGCCTGCTGGCTCTCGGGCCCTCAGTGCCCCACAGGCATCCTGGACCTCCTCAGGTTCCGCACCCATCCTATCGTCTCTTTTTGTGCATTATTGCAAACTTCTTCCTGCATCTTCCCTGAGAAAGCGCAGCCCCTGGAAGGGAAGGCCCACGACCCCCACCCCCAGGCTGGCCTCTCGCTGGGCATCGGCCTCATCGGGGTCACTGCCTGCTGTCCCCTGCAAGCAGCTTCTTCTCAAAGCATGATTCTCTAGACTCATGTTTCCAACTCGCCCAGCAGAGGCCATCATTTCTTGGCTTCTCTTAATCACAAAGAACTATGTGCTAAGTTTCTCTCTTCCAGCTAGGACTCCAGCTAGGCCCTGGACCACTGAACAATAATCACCACAGACGTCACGATTTCCTGTTCCCCAAAGCCACCCTGAATATAAGCAGGAGGTTACCTGGATTCCTCTTTCCCGTCCCAAAACACCACCGTGTACTCTTGGCCCTGGGGGGAAAAGAAGGCCGTCTGCTTCCCGCAGGGCAGCATGTACATGAAGGTGGCAAAGGTCGGGTCCTTCATCTGGCTCACCACGGACAGGGCCAGTGGGCGCTGGGGAGAGAGGCCACAGGCATGAGCACGTGTGTGTCTGGACCCCCC